AGACTGGGTGGCTTATTAATAACACAAAGGATTTTCCACAGTTCTGGGGCCTGGAATTCTAAGAGCAGGGTGTCAACATGGCTGAATTCTAAGAAAGACTTCTTCCAGATTGAAGAGTGTCGACTTTTCCTCACATGGAAGAAAGAGTGCAAAAATACCTCTCTAGGGCTCCTTTCATAAGGGCATAATTTCCACAGGTGGACTCCAACCTTGTGATTAAATCACCCTTCCCAAAGGCCCCCACCTCCTAATACCATCACATGGGTGTTAGGATTTCAACCTTGAGTTTTGGGAGGGGACACAAACATTCAGCCCATAAACACAGGGTTTGAGAAGATTTGGGCAGGGAAGTAATGGCAACAGAAGAGAAAATGTATGACTAAATCTGAAAATACGGAGCAGTTGCAGTGGTCTCACTTAGAATTTCCAGATGGCAATGCTACATAGATGCAGAAAGAGTTTTACTCTTACATGTGAGGAACAAGGGGCTAGACACGTGCAACTAAATATGGAGAAAGCAGGCCTCATGGAGAACCTGCCTCTCATAACTCAGGTGGTTTTGATGTGAGGCATGCAGAAACTTCTGCAATGGGGAAGATGAGCAAGAAGAGGAAGCTCTTCACCTCTGGTTGGAGAAACCAACTCACCTGGCCTTTGAGGGCGGGTCAGCTGATTTACAACATACAGGAGGTGTGGAAAACTCAAGTGTTGATGCGGGCAGGAAGTAAAGGTGTGCCTCAATGCAGTAGTCTGGAGATGCAAGAGGAATTTAGCAGCAGTATCTGGTTCTAACCTTAGTCTTTGGGCAGATTCCATCTAGTAGGGTCCAGAGATAAAGCTGAGGTTTTGTGTCCCCTGAGTCCATTCTCCCCTGGTAATGGTGGTAGGGTGTGTCAACAGAAGGAAACACCTCTGAGCACAATTGGGGCTTATGAGTCCATCCTCCTCTGTGGAAGGTGTCAAGTTTCTTTTTTTCTAAAAATGAATACATGCTACCTTTCACCACTTCTGTTGTTGTCTTTTAACATTTACACAGAAGTTTGTCCTGGTTTCCATTAGTTGCCTTTTTTGTTGTTGTTGTTCTGCATTTTGTCAGCCTGGATGATTTTGCTGCAGATGGAAATCCTAAGTATTTGATGAAAAATTCCATAATTTGGGGTTTGAATCTTCTAAACCACCATGAGCAGTTATGTCTAGACAGATCATGCTCAGGGAATTAGAATGTTGATTTAGGGGCTTGGGTGAAGCTGAGGAACAACTTTGGAAGTGCTCATCCAAGGATGAGTTGCTGGGGTTGGCTACACAAGATTGCGGGGCAGGGGTGTCATCATGACCTTAGAAAGAATTCACATTGCCTGTGTTCTTTTATTTGTGTAATTTCTCTTGCTTAGAAAGTACTCCCTTTTCTCCAACACTAACTTAAAAATTAAGTATTTTCTCCAATAGTTTAAGAATTTCCTGTACAATTCATATCCAGTTGACCCATTCATTCATGCATGCATTCACTTATCCATCTAGTAAATATATTCCAAGTGTACAAACATTTACTGGGTACCAAGTGCTGAGCATGGGGCTAAGCTCTGGAGATTAGAAACCAGTGAAGCCATAGTCTCCATCCATGAGAAGCTCACCATCTGGCGAATACTTCACCCTGGGTTGGATCATGAAAGTCTATCCAGTCATTTCTCAGTATTCATGTAAATGGTTTTGTGTTCAATTTGTTTTTGTTCCTAGCATAGTCTCTGAAATGGCCTGCCTCCCCTAAGTGACTAGACATTAGCAAAAATTATGCTTTCTTCTTTCTGTAATACTAATTATAGGGTCTGATATTTTGCACAGAGTAAGCTGTATTTCACATTGTTAAAAGAGGGACCACTTTTCAGGGTAAATAAATGTGTCAGTTGATTACTCCTTGTACATGTGAATGCTGATATCACTGACAGTGATTTGAGAGTGGTCGAGGATGTCATCAGTTGACATATTGTCAATCCATAGACCAAACATGGCCTCTGTTGTTCTTGTATATGGCAGATACTCTAGACACTCGCTTCTGAAAGTACCACAGTATGTTTGGCATTTGTTTCAAATGACAGGAGGATTAAGTTAAGGCCGTATTTATATGGATATATTCCTTGTGTGTTCCGACTATTCAAGAAGCACAGATTTGGGGAGTTCCCCTAATGAAATGCATAAACAGTAGCTTTCTTTCAAACTGTCAGTAAAGAATGCTGTATTACTCAAGTGAATTTCAGTGACCCCTTACTCGTGAGGGAGCCCATGGTAGGAATGCATTTTTACAAATAGTACACTGTTTGCTTTGCAGCTCTGATATTTTTTCCTGTCTTTGAGCTTGTCAAATAATCAGTAGGCTCTTTGTTTCTTAGGACAAAGGAATTTGCAGAGAAATTGATCAAATTATTATTATGAATAATCTCATTACTGAGGCATCACCAATGCTTTTGTGCATTTGAGGGTACCAAATAAATTAAAGTTTTTTCTGGGAACTCTGGAGGCACACAGGAGCAGAGCAGTTTATGAGCACAGTGGGTGGTGGCTTTTTCCTGGCTAAGGCACATTTGTGCTTGGGAGAACTGCTGCCTCATTTCTGCAGAATTGTAAAACCTTTGGTAAGGGGTCTTCTGAAGGATTGGCCATAGAAGCCCTTAAAGATAGTCATGACTACAGGCTACCATTGTTAATAAGATTTTTTTTTTCTTTTTCTGACAAGGGCACCAACATGCTTCTTGAAAAAAAGGACAAGAAAGGCTCATTATAGCCACAGGCAGAGGCTACTAGCAAATGAGAACAGATTTTGCCCTCTGCTTTGGTGGTTTTCAGGATGGAGGTGGATTGTGATGGGAGGAAGAGATACATTCTTTTCCTTCTGTCTACATTCACAGTATTTAACCTCAGAATAACAGATTCAGTCTACCCATTTTTATTCTTATTTACACTGTGTGTGTTCTCTGCCTTGGACCTGGGCATCTAAGTGGCTAGAACATTTGGCCCAAGAGGCTAAGGTTGAATTGCTTCTCATAGGGAACAATGAGCCTCACAACCCACAGTCTGCTTTAATAGTAGAATTCATAAAGAAAATACAGGACATTCAGTTCTGTTGCAATGTTATATAAGCCACATAATTACTGTAGTTTAAATACATTCCAAATATTTCATGAGACATATTTATATTAAAAATTATTTGTTACGTATCTGAAATTCAAATTGAAACTGCATGTTCTACACTTTTATCTGCTAAATCTGGCAGAATATAAGAGGTAGGAACTTTGAAATGTACCTCTCACTCCCTTACGGCTGGCCATGGGTCACCTGTTGCTGATCTCTGTTTTCACTAGATTGCCTTTGGAGTAGATATGTGGGAGTACCCTGCTGTTTCCAGAAAGCATCTGGAAAAATATGCCTGGCCTTCTTGCTGGGTCTCTTCTAACTGCCTCTAATCACCACATTCACATGAAATGAGCATTAGATCAGTCTGAGAAGACGCCCTTGGGTGGCTTGACAGATGGTTCAATGTGGAGGTTGGGCGGAGGCAGCAACGATGGTCTGGATGGCTGGGGCAGTGTAGACCCTTAGGTTGGAGAAACTGGTCTAGGTGGGTGTCTCCTCAGCCCTCTGAGTCAGGGAGCAGTTTGGGGCACTGGTCTAGAGATGCCGCCACAGTGTTCTGTGTGGCTGCTCCAGAAAGAGACCAACTTGCCCTTCTTTCCTCCCCTCCATCTGGCCTTCCTGTTCTCTCTATTCATTTATTTGTCTTTTTCCTGCCGCCCTACCTCTTAGTACTTGAAGAGTATACCAAGAGTTTAAGACTCTGTTTCTCACATAGGCACTGTGTTTATTCTGAGAGTTTGTGTGGAGCTTCTGGAATAGGGTGGGGGTGAGGATGGAGCCCTCTCTCCCAGTCTTGAACCAACAACCTCACATATGGATTCTGACTTTAGGAAATTACCCAAAAATGGAAAACGCTGACATTTGTATAGCACTTCAAAGCTTATAAGCAACTTCCTATATAATATTTCATTTGATTCTAACAATTTAGGAATTGTTGCCACCTTAGAGGGGCTGAGTGACCTGCCCAAGACCACTGAGTCATGAGTGACAGAGCTGGGTCTTAATATTGAGGCTAACTCCCTTTTCACTCTCAATGGAGGGAAGCAGAGGCCACAAAAATGTTTGGCAGAGGCAAGTGGATCCTGAAGTCCAGGGTCAGAAGAGCCAGGCAAGAGAAAACATATCCTATTTCTCAGTTTCATGAGGAATAAGCTTGGGATCTTGAGTGCCTGGCCAGCTCAAGAGAGTCAGGGACAAAGGAGGTCAGTTGGAGTCTGCTGGAGAGAGACCTACTCTCTGGGGCCTCCTTGACTGGGTTTGGAACAGCACCCTGGTTTGGGAGAGGAGACACTGGGTCATGGGGGACCCCTAGTCTGTTTGAGTTCTTTCGCCTACATCAAGTAGACAGTGGTGAGTGCCTGATAGTGCTCTAGAGTCCTACCTGCTTTTCCAGGGAACCAAACATGACTGATCTCTCCTTCAGAGTGTGGTTGTTGAGAGAACTTTGTCTGGAAGCAGACATTTCAAGGGATAGCTCAGAAACAACTTGGACAGTAGAAATTGAAGGGGGAAAGTCGGGTACCCCTGGAGGAGATTCACAGTCCCTAAGGCAAGTTACCTCACTCTCTCTAGAAAGTAGCATTCAGTAAACTAGGAGGAACAGCTAGAAGCAGCTTCTAGGCAAAAGACTAGGGGTTGCTTTTCCTCCCTGGAGCCTCCAAACTCTGTCTCATCCACAAAGAACGTTTTGATCCCATCTCTTTCAAGGAAGTACCAAGGGGGAAACAGCTATTGGATTTTAAGAAGGACATTGGAGTTAATATTTGGCAGGAGATATCTGGATCTGAGGGAGCTCACAGAGTGGGGCTCAGCGACAAGGTGTGGACCATGACTCAGATTCCTGGGTGCCCTGACCCACCTGGGGTGGGTCACATGTTCCCTGGCCACTTCCTCTTTTCCCACTCGCTGGCCATGGGGAAATCCCCACTGGTCACTATAAGAAGGCCCTGGGCTCTGTGCAGAAGCCAGTCAGTGGCTCCACCAAGGAGGACAAGATGAGGCCGGGTCTCTCCTTTCTTCCAGCCCTTTTGTTCTTCCTTGGCCAGGCTGCAGGGGATTTGGGGGATTCAGAATTCCTGATCCCCAGTCCTGACTCCAGCACCTTCAGCTCCAGCTCCAGGTCGGGCACCAGTTTCAGCTCCAGCTCCAGTGGGAGCTCCAGCTACAGCTCGGGTTCTGGCTCCAGGGGGGGCTACAGCTCAGGCGGCAGAGGATCCGTGTCCCAGGTGAGGAGGCCCTAGAATCTGAGAGAGTTTCATTTATTCCCTTCCTCTTGCTTTTTTTGGGGACCTGAATACAATTTCATGGGTGGCTAGATCTGGGCACTCTGAAAGATTTATAACTCCTTTTGTTAACTGTAGGTGTCCTGGAAATGGATTAAAACCTGAGTGAAATAATTAAAATGTTAGCAAGAGAGACGACACCTCAGTTCTCCAGCTGGGGACTTTTGAGAAACAATCTGTACTTTAAAGAGGTTCTCAAACCGGGCTGCACACTAGACTCAGCAGCGAGGAGGACTCTAAAAGTACAGATGCCTGGGCTCTGAACTTAAAAAAAAAAATCCTGGCAGGGCTTGGTGGCTCAGCCTATAATCCCAGTGCTTTGGGAGGCCGAGGTGAGCAGATTCCCTGCGTCCGCGGGTTTGAGACCTGCCTGGGTAACGTGGCGAGACCTCATCTCCACAATAAATCAAAAAATTAGCCGGGGGTGGTAGTGCGCGCCTGTAGTTCCAGCTACTTGGAAGGCTGAGGCAGAAGGATCACCGGAGCCCAGTAGGTAGAGGGAGCGGCCACTGCACTCCAGTCTGGGTGACAGAGTGAGACTCCAACTCAAAAAAAAAAAAAAAAAATCCTGCACAGATGTTTAAAAATCAGATAGTTTTACAAACCCTTCCCAAGTAACTCTAATTTGCAATCTGGATGGGAACAATTAAGAAAGGGACCCTACTGGGGACAGCTCCAGGAAAGTTTGTTCAATTGATTTGCTGTCCCCAGGGGCCCCGGATGGTGGACAGGGGCCGTCCAGGGAGCGAGAGTTGCAGTCCTCCAGCTGGAGGCTTGACAGTTTCTCTTGGCCTAGTTTGTAAAAAGATGTGTGTCAGAAGCAAGGGAAGTTATTGATCTTCAGGAAAGTGTTACTACGAGTGGACATTTCCCCAGGAGAGTGTTAACTCTTTTCAGTCTTCTTTATAGGGAATCTTTAGGGCCATTTCCAGCTCATCAGCAGCAACAAACAAAATAAAAAAGTCATGCATTACAAAGAACCTGGTTCAGCGGGGCTAAATACGACTTTCTTGAGGGACTGAGTCCTCTTTGGCCCTCCTTTAAAGAAATGGGAACAGGCTTGGAGGAGGTCAGAGGACAAGAAGCAGTTACCCACCTTATCACCAGCTCTTTCTGCAGAGACCCCTCTGTGCAAAAGCTCCTAGGTTACAGTTGCTAAGGTGTGACTGGGGATGCAGAGTCTTACCTGGGTCAAAGCTCCTCCCTCTGCACTTCTAGGGCCTTTACTCACAGGTCAGGCAGGTGCTCACATGAGTATGTCTGAATGGAAGGACAAATGGGAGAAGAGGAGGAAAAATCTTGTTTGTTTTCATTTTCACCATCAGGAATACACAGACAATGAAAACTTGGCGATTAACAAACGCTTTGCAGAGGACCTAGATAAAAACGGCAGTTATGATATTTACTGTGTGTCTAATAAACACCAGGACTAGATTAAGTACTTAATATACATGATCTTTTTTTTTTTTTTTTTTTGTGTTGGAGTCTCACTCTGTCGCCCAGATGAGTGCAGTGGCCGCTCCCGGCCACCGCAGCCTCGACCCGCTGGGCTCCGGCGATCCTTCCGCCTCAGCCTTCCAAGTAGTTGGAACTACAGGCATGTGCTACCACACCCGGCTAATTTTTTGATTTATTGTAGAGATGAGGTCTCACCAAGTTGCCCGGGTGGGTCTCGAACCCATGGGCTCAGGCAATCCACTCACCTCAGCCTCTCGAGGCGCAGGATTACAGGCTGAGTCACCGAGCCTGGCTATTATATATTATCTTATTTAACCCTAAGAGGTAGGCTAAGTTAATAGTTCAATTTTAGAGATGTGAAAATTGATGCGCAGTGAGGTGAAATCATTGGTTTAGAGTGACTTAAAGCAAGTTATATGGCTCAAGATTCGTCTGCCTATTCTCTTTACCATCTCTCTATATGCAGATTTTTATATTTTCAGGGAGTATAGATGAAAATTGCTTATTTTTAAGAGAAGAAAGGTTTGGAAATTATGAATATGCAAAAGGATTCTTTGTAGCCAGAAACCAAATGCACAATTTTATTCCATGATACTAAATGATTTCTGGAGATGATCAGACTTGGTTAGCATTTTTTTTTCCAGAGTGAGGTTAACAATAATAATTATGAAGCTTCTTCATCAGTCAGAAACCAGCACTTGGGTAAGATCATCAGCTAAAATAATAGAAAATAGAATGTAGGTCAAGAAACAGAAATTCAAAATGCCTATTTTCTGGTAAAGAGACAAATATTTAAAAGTAGATAAGAAATGGTAGTTAAATTGTACTTAGAGGTTTTAATTTCCTTCTTACTTTACTTATCTCTCTCTGGTGAGTCAGTATCACAATTCCAACTTTTTTTTAATAGCCGACTAGGAGTCAATTCCACTCTAAACCTAATTTTCTGGGGTTGGCTGTCAGCTTGATGAGCTCTTTGGAAAGTGGTGGAAAACCCTCTTATAACTGTCATTGAGTAAGTTCCAAACGTATCATTTTCTGTACTTTGAAAATGTTGAGTACTGTTATTTTATGCCTTGAATGTTTGTCGGCACTTAGACTTGGCTGCTAATTAGAACCAACTGTAAACTTAAATCACAAATGTGAGTCGCACCTTCGGCGGTAAGTGCTCAGAGTCATCTCCGTGCTTAGATGTCACTCTCTAAAAAGGGGGTCCTCAATTCACGGACTGGAAGAAGGCTCCATGCTCGGCTCCAAACAGCAACTGGCATAATCGGAACCACAATGACTCACATGCTTTTGTCAACAGTCTGGTTAAAAAAAAGACAAAAGCCCAGGGCTTTCATAACGATGGTGGACCTGATTTCTGGGCAGGAATCCGGCCTTCATCGTCTCCCTAACGCCAGAGACTGGCATACTGTAGATGTCAGTAAATGTTAATTGAACACATGCTGAGTGAGAAGTTACCAGCATAGGTTGCCTTGCAGGATTTGCGGGGTACTATTTGCCCTCCATGAAGGAGATCACATATCCTTCCAAAGGCCAAGGGACAAGCACAAGTCTTTGTCTCCCATTCCCCATGTTTCACTGACAGAGTTTGAGCATTCACCGCAGAGAGACTCATCACCATTAGCTTCATTGTCTTTGAATGCGAGGAGCAGAAATATCTCTAATGGGAGACACTGATCAAACTTATGGACCATTTTGATGTCAGCTGAGCACGCTGGGCTGATGATAAGCGGGTTGGAAGCTGGGGAGTCCACAGCATTGGGACAGAGATGTTCAATAGAAACCGGTGGAATGGCTGTCAGCAGGGCTCATAATTATGCTCCTGTCTTTCAGGTGAACTTCAGGACTAAAAGTTGTTAGCTAGTGGTTCCTAGTTGACTGTCTAGAGACTGCTTGATGATATCCACTGTTTCTTGAGTTGGCAGAGCTTTTCAGAGAACTCTGAGAATGGCCCAACCCTGTCTTATGCAGCTAATTAACCTCCCCTTGTCAAAATGCAATGCAAGATTTTTTTTTTTGCTAGACAATTATTATAATAAGCTGTTTCTTCAAAAGTCCATGATATGTCGGTCCTTTCTGTGAAAGCCTTGGCATGCTTGAGTCTTTCTATCTTTAGAGAAAGTAATAAAGCTGGTTTCAAGGGGAGTTGGCCTCTCTGACAGGTTCCTGACGTATCTTGTCCAGTCCTATTTATCCCTGGCAAAGACCCTTCCTATTTTTTTTTTTTTTTAGTTGGAGTCTCATTCTGTTGCCCAGACTGCAGTGTGGTGGCATGTGCCCGGCCACCGCAGCCTCAACCTGCCAGGCTCTGGTGATCCTTCCGCCTCAGCCTTCCAAGTAGCAGAAACTACAGACACGCCCTACCATGGCCGGCTAGTTTTTGATTTATTGTAGAGACGAGGTCTCGGCAAGTTGCCTGGGCGGGTCTCGAACCCGTGGGCTCAGGTAATCCACTCACCTCGGCCTCCCAAAGTGCTGGGATTACAGGCTGAGCCACCGAGCCCGGCCAGACCTTTCCTATTAACCTGTATCCCATGTCCAGCATAAACCAGATTATCCCTTCTCCTTACTCCCCAGTTCCTGCAGGTGTGGGGTTGTGATTAGAAAAGAAAATTGAGGCTTATGTCAAGAATTTTGACTATACACATGCAGAGACTTTCGGATACACATGTTTTTCTTTCTACTCATCTTAAAGGAGCTTAGGTTAAACTATAAAACAACTTAGGTGCAAAAGCCTGGATTGGCCCAGAGACTGCTGATAAAATAAGTATTGACTATGGAAGTGTCTAGGCCCAGGTTGCTTGGGAGTCATGAAGGTTGGTGGACATTAAATGCACAGGGCACACAACCCCAGCTGCAGCTGGCTGACCTGCAGATTGCTCTCTCCTTCGTTGTTTCATAAAACGTCCCTTCAGGCTGATGTTCCACAGGTGAGCTTTGGGTTGGCCTTCAGATAGCATTAAAAGACACAGCCAGTCAGCTGCCAAATGTTACTCTGTAAGGCAACGGTAGTAATAAAAAAAATGTTAATTGTGCTGAGATCCCCTTGGGGAAGTTAAAAGGGGACAAAAGAAAAACAGGATATTTCAAACATGTCATTTAAAAATATGCAGCGGCACCAAAGTGTGAGCCTGAATATCTTAAAGAAACATCAAATATTTTAAAATGACTTTTCTGCAAGCTGGAAAACTTTTATTTAAAAAATTTGCACACAACCTTCAAGTTTAGACACTGTTTGGTTTTTAACAAATGGCTTGTTTGTTTCCATCTGGAAGGATGTTAATTATACAATTTCCTAGGTGAAGAGAGGATATTAATTTACATTGTATATTTTCACTGTAGCCCATGTCCTTGGTAATTCCCTCATTCTGACTGGGAGAAATCGGATTGAGGTCGGGGCGAAGGTAAGGAAAAGATGAGTAACAGAAGGAAAGAGAAAGTGACATTTGCTGATCTCCCATCCCGTGCCAGGGCTTAGCCATTACTCAGTTAATACTGAGGACAACCCTGTGAAGTAGGTTATCTGTGTTTTACAGATGAGGAAATAGACTTAAGGACATCTAGTGAGTGCTAAATTAAAACTCAAACTTACGACTCTCATCACTTCTTTATTTCCCTTTCCTTGCATAGAGACAGTAATACTTTCCTTTAAGACTCCTCAAGAGTGGAGAATCTTCCTTTTAGTAAAGGCTGCTGAGAGTGGTTTTGCCTAATAGGTGGTGATGTGGCTAAACGCTGTGTGGTCCCCACCTGTGAAAACATGGCGGTTTTAGTTTGTTTCCATGAGTCTATTCATTTATGTATTGGACTCCACTTGCTTGCCTTTAAGTACTCTTTTGACAAGCCAATTTCCATCATTCTAGTTGTCAAAATACTCAGATTCCAGCTCATTACTAATGTTCAACTTATTATGATTTGCAGTCATTTTCCAATTTCACCGGCTCCGTGGATGACCGTGGGACCTGCCAGTGCTCCGTGTCCCTGCCGGACACCACCTTTCCCGTGGACAGAATGGAACACTTGGAATTCACAGCTCACGCTCTTTCTGAGGAGTTTGAGAAAGAGCTTTCTAAAGTAAGCATTTTCTTTTCAAACCATATCTTGATAAGAAAAATAAACAAACAAGACAAAACCTTTTCACATTTCAGATTTTGTAAGCAGATGTTCTTAATTGTATCAGAGACAGCCCATTTGTATCCTGTGGTGGTTTTAGCATTTGTTTTATAGTACACCCACGAGAACGCATAAAAAAATGGGATTGAGATTATTCATGCCACGGATAAACTCATGTTAGCATTGTGGCACCCATGCAATTGGAAAGATGCCTCCAGCTCTCCTTGCCAACCCTGACCTGCAATTTTTATTTTGTTTTGAGGTTTCTTCTTCATGATCTTTCCTGCTGCTTTCTTTTCTTTTTTTCCTCCATCTCTTTAGTTCTGGTCTCTTTTCTCTTTGACCCTTTCTTCTATTTCTATTTCTTTCTTGCATTTGGTTTCTTACTCCTTTTGCCTCAATCCTCTCCCTTGTCTACCCCTCCTAAGCACTCTTTTTCTTTCCTTCTTAATTCTTTTTTTTTTTTTTTTTTCTCTCTTTGGTCTACCTTTTAAGTGATGCTTTCTTTTTCTTCTCCTTCTTTTCCTCTTCCTCCTCTTCTACTCCCCCAAATCTTCTCCCTCTTGTCCTCCCCCTCTCCCCTCCTCTTTTCCTTTCTCTTCCTCCTGTTTAATCTTTATAATTTGCTTCCTCCCTCCTCCATTCCCTCCCTCTGTTTCTTAGAAGTTATCCTCTGTTGTCTCAGCAGGAACATTACATTACACATGTCCAGCATGAGACCAAAAGTGAAGGCTTTCCTGGGAATTTGAATCAAGACCAATAGGTCTCAGCCTGGGCAAAAACCCAGACTTGAACCCTCAGATTACTGCTTTTTCTCTAGCCGGAGGACATTATCCTGAAGGGTATGTCTTTCTCAGAGCTGGCTGGAGCAATGTGACTTGGCATTCTAGTTTTGACCCCTTCTGCCTTTTCAGCCAAGTTAAAAATCAATTAGAAAGTTTTCTATTTTCTGCACAGGTGAAGTCCAAGCTAGGCTATAATCACATTATGCATTATTTAATACAGCTCCATTAATTTACAAGAAGCTCTGGATCTACTGCAAGATTGAAAATAAGTTTCCCTGAGAAATTTAAGCTTAGCTACCTCAATATTTTACATAGTTATCCTTTAAGACAAAAGTTATGACGAGGCTGAGACCCTACTTTCAACTTGAATTGGTAGATAAATACTTTAAGTTTACATGAGTGTCCAGGAAAATGTGTTTGACTACTCTAGGAACCTCACTTCTTAAGAAATAAAATGTCCTTGAATTAATCAGCAGAGAAGGCATAGCACTAAATTATAAATTCCAGCCATTAATATTCATAGCCTTATTCCAGCATAATCAAGTACAGATAAGAAGCTATGCATAAAAACATAACAAGCAGAGGAAAATCCTAGGTAAAGATCTTTTCAGTTAGTCATTTGCTTTGAAATAGTGGAAGCTGCTGATTTGCATGTCGTCTTTCTGGCAGCAGTGTGAAGGGCAGTTTGGAACCTCGTGCTGCTCCAGGGACAGTCTGTGGTTTGCCAGGTTTGTGAATATGGGACATTTAATTCCAATCCTATAAGGAGGCAGGTAGCATCTGCTTGGCTAACAATCAGCAGGGAAGAAGCACAGGTTAGGTAGGAAAAGATTTAGTTCTGAAAGCATCAGTAGCTGGTCCTAAAAAAAAAAAAAATTGTGATGGAGACCTAAGAAAAAAATTTACCTGCCAGCCAGGATTTAGTAATCAATTCTGTGTGACAGGTGATACTAACAACAATAGAGGTGCAGCTTTTGTTTGTTCTTTTCCAAATGATTCCAGTACTATTCTGTTTTTAAGCAACACTTTAGGGCAGATAGGCCAGGTGTTCTCCCTCCCATTTTAGAGATGGAAGAACTGTGGTTCATAAAGGTAAAGAGACCTGCCCGAGGGCATTCCTCTCTTGGCTGGTTAAGCCAGGCCAGGAATTTGGGTCTTTGGAATTATCTCAACTCTCTTTCCACTTGACCATGCTGTTGTCACCTTCCTGGGCAGCCCCGAGAAGAGATGCAGTAGGTCAGTAATGCCTTCAGATCCAAAATTATCTCTTTAGCTGAGGGCTTTTGAATTTCCAGGTGAGTTATTATAACTGTCCCTAGGTTGCCGTGGAAATCATCATTTATCTGGGGGCCTGGGAGAACGCCCATTTAGGACAGGCCAGTGGAAAAGGCTTTTGACTGCCTTACATTGATACATTATCTGCCAGTACCCAGAGAAGACAGGGAACCGCCTCTGCAGAAGATGCTGAAAGCATTTTGTAATTTTCTGTTGTTTACAATATGTTCTTTTGTGACCATTCTTAGGAATGGGATGGCACGAAAGGCAGCTTAGAATTTTCTCTTTCTCTGGAGGCTTATGGTCTCTGGGGCAAGTTATTTAATACGACACATTGGCTAATAGATCCTCATGCATCATGAGAAGGTTGAGGCAGCCTGGGAGACATTGAGGCAACCCATAAACAAGCGACATTGATTGAGCAATGTTTTGTGCAGTGAAATATAACAGTTAAAAGGTCAGATTGAAAAACACTGAAATCACTGTTTCTCTATTAATTTCTGTAATTTATAGGGCCTCCTTTAGCCAGGCACTTAATGTACATTATCTCTAGTCTTTATAATAATCCTGTAGGCTTAATATCATTACCCCGATTATAGGAAACTAAGGCTTAGAAAGAAATTAAGTGATTTGCTTACTAAGTTCTGAAGTCAGATTTGAGTCAGGTAAGTCTATCCAGGCGCAGTTAACCCTGCTACATTTATTTTAAAAGCTATATTAAAAATAATAGTATGTTGCCAAGTGAATTTACTGATTTAAAATAATCTGACTATAGTTATGATCACTGGCAGAAACTCAAGCTAGACTAATACGAAGACGGCATTTATTGTAAGGAACAATAACAACCACTCTGAAACTAACCCTCAAGCACACTTTGTTCTTCATCAGTGACATAGTATGTGCATAACAAGCAAAATAAAATGGCAGTTCTGAGTGTTAGGCAAGCATAAATGAGTCTGATGTTGATGTTAAAAAGGATGTGACCCCTTAGGACTAGGTCCGTACTCTTTCTTTGTTTACTTATTTATTTTAAAGATGTGGGGTACAATTCAGGGTTAGGTATACAAATGTTCATTATGCAGGTACTCTTGTTGATGCGGTGTGCCCCTTCCTCCCCAGCAGTTTCCCTCAACTGCCAATCCCAACCCCCTCCCCTGGCAGTTTCCCACCACTTAGGCCCGTATTCTTGCTAGAGTGTTTAACAGTGTCCCTGGCCTCCAGACACCAGTAGCACCCACCCAACCCCCAGTTGTGACCACCAAAAATGTCTCCAGACATTGCTGAATGTTCCCTGGGGATAAAATCACCAACACCATCCTCACTCCATTTAGAACCACCACTCTACGTCTGAGTGCAGTCATGCATCATTTAAAGATGGTGATACGATCTGAGAAATGCATCGTTAGGTGATTTCATTGTGTGTGAACATCCTAGAATGTACTTAGACACAATTAGATGGCATAGCCTACTACACACCTAGCCTATGTGGTAGAGTCTATTGCTCCAAGGCTACAGCATGTTACTGTACTGAATACTGGAGGCAGCTGTAACACAGCGATAAGTATGTATTTGTATCTATGTATTAGCATGTGTATCTAAACATAGAAAAGGTAGAATAAAAATATGGTAGTGTAATCTTGTGTGACCATTGTTGCATAGGTGGTCTGTCATTGAACAAAATTTCATTATGTGGAAAATGACTGCATTTTCTAGAAGGGGAGAAAAGTACGAAGTACATTAAATGCTGGGGATTTGAGGGTAAACACTTCTTAGGCAGATTGGGCTGTCTCTACTGAGACTGCCCTCCCAGGAAGAGCTGGCATGTTCTCAGAATTGTCTACACTTTCTCCATGCTGCAGACCCATACATATGAAAGGTTTATACTGATGACTTGTTTAAATTAGTGAAGTTCACACTATGAAGTCTTTCGGGCCTATCCTCATATTATTTTCTACCTTCTATAACGCCACAGATGATTCCAGTTTTGGGGAACACCACCGAGCTTCCTTTAAAAGTCAGCTGATTCATTTTTTGACTAAATGAGGGCAGTCACACCACACATTCTCATAGGTAGCAAAGTCCAAGTTGTGGCTTGGTTTTCTGGGAAAGCCACATTTTATTTAGCAGAGATGATAGTTGAATCACTCATTTTTGTAGAACAACAGCTGCGATGTGCCACTAGAATGTTCCAGGAAAGCTGAGGGTGCTTCATTCGTTCCAAGAGCTGGCAAGGCCAAATGCCAACAAGCATATCCAGTTCTCAAACTTCCATTTCTGCAATGGATTGGCACTTTGTTTATTTATTTATCATAGACAATTTTTTATGCCTGATTTTTGTAGAAATTGAAATCTGGCCTCTCCTATATCTGTATGTGTACTACTGAGGGGGACTTGTTTGGTTTCATATATAGTTGGTCCTCCATATCCTTACGTTCTGCATCTGTGGATTCAACCAGCCCCAGACTGAAAATTTTCAGGAAAAAAAACAATAAAAATAATAGTACCATAAAAAATACAAGTGAAAAATACAGTATAACAACAATTTTCATAACATTTACATTGTGTTAAGTATTATAAGAAATCTAGAAATGAGTTAAAGTATACAGGAGAATGTGCATGGGTTATATGCAAATACTATACCCTTTTATATAAAGGACTTGAGCATCCTTGGCTTTTGGTGTCATTGAGAGGTCCTGGAACCAATCCCCGTGTATACTGAGGGACGCTGTGTGTATATTTTAACCTCCTTATTCACCAAAATATTCCCAGTCTTATCAGCCTCCGAGTGATGGCACATCTGATGGCAGTGAGCATCAGTTGCCCGAGGAGATACACTAGCAGTGCTAAGAGCTGTGTTTTCAACTTTCATTAAAATCCTCTTTGCCTGAAGCCCTATCCCTTTAGGTCTGTGGCCTGTGAGTCTTTTCTAATTTGCACAGTGGGGTTAAGTGGAAGGGCTAGAATGACAGAAGTTAGGGCTGCCTTTGGTATTAGAAGGATTAGAGGCCAACATCTGGCTCTGAATTCATCCAGGCACAGTGGATCAGCTACTTGACATTAGTGTAGTTTGGGGAAAAGTATCACTTATGTTAAAATTTTTACAAAGAATGTAAAACCAGCAACTTTTAATGAGCAGGTCCTTAAAAAAACCGTGGCATTTTCTTTAGAGATCAGATACTGAAAGAACCACCAACTGTGTTTATTAAAATATCCATTTGGAGATTCCAATTATACACTGAACTGCCAAGGGAATTTTTGGAAGTATTTTAACTTAATGATCAGACATTCAAATATATGCAACAAATGTGTAATTTAAAGGTCTGATTGCAATAATCAGTTCTTGGAATAAATGTGGGTGCACTTAATGAAATGTGCGATCTGCAGTGCACACGCACTCACATATTGTGTAGTAGGTTGGATCTTTATGCCACTTTGCTAAGGCAAAGGGGCTCAAAACTCATTGCACTGGCATCCTATTTAGTGCATTTCTTTCTCTTCTAGAAAATACTTAGATGAATAGTGGTGGTGCTAAATGGAGGAAGGTGGTAGTGATGATGGTGATGATTCTGTCCCCAGAGAACATTTAGCAATGTCCAGAGACACTTTTGGTTGTCACAACTTGAGTGTGGATGATGCTACTGGCACCTAGAGGCCAGGAATGCTGCTTAATATCCTACAATACACAGCACAGCCCCCACAAAAAATAGCAATTCAGCCCCAAATGCCAATAGTGTTGAGTTAAGAATCCCTGGGCATTGAGTGGTGGAGGGATGGCAAGAGACTGATTCACACCTCTTTAGTCGGGAGAGTTAATGTCTTCAGGTATTAGAGTGGAGATTAAAATATACTGGCAAGTGAGGATTCTGAGGCAAACTTATTTTTAGCCTACATAAGTGTAAAATCCACCTACCCCCAATTGTAGTAATAAGTTCTTTTAAATTTGTATTTGGTTAGATTTTTAAAAATCTAGTTAAATATATTTTTGATTCATTTCTTTACAAAAACAACGATTGACAGGAATCATAGTCCACAAGGACTTGGTGGTGGAGGAAGATAGGAATTGAGTTTTCTGATTCCCTTTCAGGTGAAGGAATATGTCCAATTAATCAGTGTGTATGAAAAGAAACTTTTAAACCTAACTGTCCGAGTTGAAATTATGGAAAAAGATACCATTTCTTACACTGAACTGGACTTTGAGCTGATCAAGGTAGAAGTGAAGGAGATGGAAAAACTCATCATACAGCTGAAGGAGAGTTTTGTTGGAAGCTCAGAAGTCGTTGACCAGCTGGAAGTGGAGGTAAGGAATGAAGCAACTTCTCAATATATTAACAATACAGTCTCTTCAGTAATTGTAGGTAAGTTTTAGGACTGGGATAGGAATCCCTGTCTTCTCATACTGCACTCTCTCATAGTCACGTGGCATCTGGTGTTCTGTTTTGGATGCAGGCCCATTTTTGAATAGTAAGTTATGCATATGGGGAACATGGTAGCTTAGTTGCAGGTGTGGCCTAACAGCTAGAATTGTGTCCCAGAACCAAATTGCGTTTTACCTTCTCTAAAAAAGGAGGTGACAGAAATTTAAACAACTGTCCGTGGCTGAGTTAGATCAGTTGTCTTTTCTGCTCTGGATTTTTTTTTTTTTTTTTTT